TTTTTTTTTTTAATATTAAGGTGACCACTTAGACCCTTGGCACTTTATTAGTACAAGCGATTAGGCCATATGTCCAAAGACTTGACCATATGTTATATCGGTATTACAAGAGTACAACTAGCCACATATACAACTTTTGGTTATCTAATTTAAGTAGTCTGCCCAAAGGTTCTATACTAGCTGCCATACCTATAGCCTAACTAGAAAGCTATCTATTTAAACTTTTTGATACCACCTCTGTCCCATGCTTCCTTCTAATATACCCTTTCAGGGTAATTTGCTATTAAAGACCCTAAGACTTTAGCCAAACCAACACTTATTCCTTTTGGAATGGAGGTATTTACCTTGTAGTAAACCTAACAGAATAGTACATGTCTCACACATGTGCTCACCTGCGTGTTTGGTAACATTTCTCTTAACTAGTACCTGCTTTGCTGCCGTTATCCAGTTCGTATCTCAAGCCTTCTTTGGATGCTGCCACAACCCGGTCCGTATCTCAAGCTACAACCTTCCTAATTTAGTTCCCTGTTATTTACTCTTGCTCTTGCAAGGTTCACAACAACCCTGGTACCTACATTCGAACCTTCTTCTTTCCTGGATTCTTAATCGGTCCCTCCCTTACTTCCAGCTAGCAACCCAGAAGGGTTGTCTGCCCAGGCTCTAAGTGCCTCATAGTTGCCCTTTTCTTGATACATGCTTCCAAAGCACATATCCTTTTCTTCTGGTTTGGTGTTCTGGCGGTTCGGCTAGTATGTCCCTCCACTTAAGGACCTGGTCGTTTGGTTCTCTGATCTCAGTCTTCAGTTCCGAATCTAGCCTTCCTGTAGTACTGTTAAAGATTACTGCTACTCCCAACTCAGAACTTGCCAAATGGTTTTTGGTTATTCTAGTTCTCTGGATTTATTGCGCCAAAGCTTCTATTCGAGATGGTGTGACCAAGATTACAGATATCTAAGCCCAACCGATTGTTGATAACCGTTAACCGTATCACAGGCCTAATTTTCAAAATTATCATTCATAGGATTCAAACTCTAGACCTGCCGCTTGGGGGTGCAGCAACCCCACCACTTCACTAGGTCACCGCACCCTAATAATATATTTTATTTATTATATATATTACAAAAAATGTAAATAAAATGATTAAAAAAAAAAAACAATTTGCTTTTTTTTTTTTTTTCTTTTTTTTTAGTTCTTGCTGCTTTCTTCTTTCTCTTTTGATTCTAACAAACTTTTTAAAAAATCTGTGAAGCTTGCAAGAGTCTTCTCAATATCAGAATTCTAATAGTTATATTTACTTATAGAAAACAAAATTAATGATTTGAATTAAGTATTAATTAATGTATTTACTTAATTATCTAATACATACTGATATTTATCTTTTTATTTTTTTCATCAACAATCTCTTTCATTTTGCCTTTTCATCAACAACTTCTTTCACCTTTTCTTTATCAACAACCTCTTTCATCTTTCCTTTATCAACAACCTCTTTCACCTTATTGTCTTCAACAACCTCTTTTGCCTTTTCTTTATTAACAACCTCTTTTACCTTATCTTTTTTTAATCAACAACCTCTTTTGTCTTTTTTTTATCAATAACAACTGCTTGTATTTTACCTTTAATAGTATTACTAAATTTATTAAAAGCAGCTAGTTAATTGAATACTTTTGTTAAATTCAAAGCCAAGATTAGTTTTATATAGTTATAATTAAACTAACAGTATTACTATTTTTACCTCTAGTAGTCAGATTTTTTTTAATTTTAAACATATATTATAGTTACTATATATGCTACAGTAGATGTCACTGGGCTTAGCTATAATATAGTCACTATTAGTATCATTATTGTTATTGTTATTAGGAGAAGAGTTATCATTATTGTTATTAGGAGAGAGGTTATTATTGTTATTAGAAAGAAGGTTGTTATTATTATCAAGTGGAGTTTTCATTATCATTATTGGGAGAAAGATTTTAGTTATCATTATTGGAAGGGAGGTTTTCATTATTATTATTATAAGAGGGTTATCACTATCAGTTATACAACCATCTAGATCACTATATGATTTTGATACAAACTAAGATGGTACATTTTTAGATAGAATTGCATTTTTATCAATTAAACTAAAAGTATTTGCCTACTGGTATTTTGTTGATTTCTTTTTTACAGACACCACATTTTTGGCCAACTATAAAATATTTTTCAACTAGAAGTAAAAAAAAAAAAAAATTGTTTTTTAAAAAAATATATATATATATATATATATGGGGTGAAGTCAATAGAAATAGAACAAATTTATCTAATAAATTTGTCCTATTTCTATTGACTCCACCCCATATATAAAGAAAAAAAAAACATATTGCTAAAGAAAAAAAAAAAAGCTTTTGATTTTGCTATTTATTAGATTTAGCTATTGGTAAAATATATATTACTATCAGATTTTTTAAGACTAAATCTGATAAGAATAAATAATAAAATTGAAAACTTAAAGCCTTATTTCTTTTAGCAGCATTAACATTATTAAATTCAGACCAATAAAATTAGTATAATGCTGATATTTCTATAGGCTTAGATTTTACCTTACAAGATTGCTAGCCTTTATCTAATACTTTGATCAACTGGTTATTGTAGTCATTGCTACTATCATAGTTTTTGTCCTTCCACTCCTTATCAGCCTTTTTAGTATTAGTTTTAGAAATTTTATTACTATGATAACTTCAAAACTGCAATATCTAGCAAATATCAACAATTGCTCATTTTTTAGATATATTATCTGGTAAATTTTTGAATAACAAGCAGCATTAAGTTGTTAATAAATGCTAAAAGCTGCTCAGTTATTTTTAAAGTTTTTAAAATAAATTTAAAAAAAATTTAAAATAAAATTAAGTAAAAATAAATTAAAATAAAATTAAGTAAAAATAAACAATAAAATAAATAAATTAAATTAAATTAATGAGTAAAAATGAAGTGAAAAAATAAGTAAATAAATTAAATAATAATAATGATAATAATAATATTAAAATAATAATAAGAGTGAGATATATAGTACCAATATTTATATATATATGTAATAATAATAGTATATCTGAGATGTTTGCATATTCATTTTTTTTCTTTTTTTTGTCGTTCATGCTTTACCAGCTATATCTTTTCCAAATACATCTCATTTTAATGTTTATGATATTGCTGAATAATATATAGTACTTGGTCATTAGAGGTATAATATGTGATATTATATATAATAACTAGGTGTGAGTTTGTAATGAACTGATCTCTAAATTTGTAGTATTCATTGGGAAATTTTTTATGTACATATATATCGATATATAGCACTTAATCGATATATATCGATTAAAAATAACGATATATATCAATTAACGAGTTATATATCGATATATATTTATAATTGATATACATCATAATTAGTTAAACATCGTTATAAATCAGATAATCGATTATGATCAAATTAATTAAATCGATATGCAACAATAATAAGTAACTAATAACATGTATATTAAGTAATATACACTTTAAATTTTAAATTTTAGAACATAAAAATATTCACTAAATAATCATTACGATCAAATCTTGGCAATATATAAACAGTTTTATTTATGCTTTCTATAGGAACACAACTATAGTGATTAACTAATTTTAATTTAAAGCATCTCCACAATTCACCTCCTTCTTCATACCATCGAACAAGAGCGAATTCAAGCGGTTCTCTATCTGCTGCTTGGTAAAACTTAAGTATTAGCAATACCTTTATTAATAATAATAATGTATTAATATACAATTATTCATGAAGTTAGAAAATAGCTAAGGATATTATCTAACTATGTGATTCATTTTGTTTATAATCGCTATTTATTGTTAAAATGCATATATATTAATAATAATACAGATCAAATAGAATCATTCTTACCATGCTATACCAATTTATTTCTTCTCCAGCACTAACTATAATGTTAGAAAACATAGGCTCTCCATGAAAATTCGACAATGTACAAATAATATTAGTACTTTCTAAAGCTGCAGAAGAAAATGTTTTTACTTGTGAATCATTGTGAATAGACATAGATAATTCCTCTTTAAAAAATTCGTCAAAACCAGTTAACAGGTTTTGAAAACCTTTTATTTGTAATGGATGCATTTTATCTATATTTTTTTGAAGGAAATCATTTATATTTTCTAATTTTGTCACCCACAAAGATTTTTCAAAACCTTTTGATTGACGATATTTCTTGTGAGTTTCCTTCTCAGTTAACCTTTGCTGCTTAACCTTAAAATGAACCAAGTTTAGTGATTATTAGCGATTACTAGCAATTATATATTATAGTTAAGGCATACCATTTTTATTATCTGTTTTATATAGTCTTTTTTGTTCGACATGTGATAAGAG